TTGTGGTAGGGGATGGTGGATCAAGAGATCTTTATAGCCTTTTTGTTATTCTGGCAAATGATTTACAGCATTGGCCAAATGCATGGAACAGTCTTAGGGGACAGATTGCTCCTTGAATCCACCAGGGATAAGAAATAAGGTCCAAAAATTACTAGCCTTAAGAATCAAAGGATTCCACTGCCATTCTGAAAGACAAATAGTCTTAGGGAACAGATTACTCCTTGAATCCACCAGGGATAAGAAGTAAGGTCCAAAAATTACTAGCCTTAATGAAAGGATTCCACTGCCATTCTGAAAGACAGAAAGATGCCCAAATGAGAGAACCCAATCTGCCTCAAGTGTGCTAATCATAATCAGGATTACTGTTGATTAGCAAAAGGCCAAGAGAGAGATGCAAATTTCAGATTGACACAAAATTAATTTTGCCTCCCCAGGTTTGGGTCACAGTTCCTCCTTGTAAGAATCAGCTAGGAAGCTACATTTTTTCTTATGGAATTCATTAACTGGCCTACAGAAACTCAGCATTAAATTAGAGATTTTACAGGACTGATTTAAGGCTGTTATTGCTACTAGAAACCTGCCAGTTATTATACAGCCCAAATACTCTTTGAATATGCATTGCTGGAGCTGGAGAAGCAGATTCTGCACAGGGTCATAAGGAAACCTTAGGGATTAGGTAAGTCACCTTTCTGTTCAAAAAGAATTAAAATAACTAACTGCTAGTGATAATCACATCGAGAACATGGAAAATCCATGGAAGTATGAAGAAACTGCTCATGTCCACCCTGTAGAATCAGCAGCAGCCTCACAGCCAAGTGACTCTGGTTTCCCTCCCAATCTCTCAGCCATGTCACAGTACCATGAAACATTTGCTATCTTCCAAATATTTCTTCACTACAGCAGGGAATTGTTTTATTATCTACCAGAGAAAGAAAAGACAAACCCCATAAAATATCCCAGACAGCTGCCAGTATTTCATGTAACTGCTTGGAAGAAGGGAGAGATACAGAAACATTTCATGCAGCAATCACATTAAAACTCCAAGTAATGATGCTTCATAATCCAAACACACAGGGCAGGGAAGGTGCTGTGGGTAATCTGTCCCAAATAAATGGGCTGATTTCAGATAAATAGCAACGTACTGAGCAAATTCTGTGCATGGCACAAAGATTCTCTTTAAAACCTTTCAGAATCTTCCTCGTGGGGAATCACATTACAAGGCCTGTTTTCATGCAAAAAATATGCATGTCATTTATCAATCACACAATGAATCCATCAGACACTGGATATGTAATGTTATCTCCCAGCATTAAAGCTGTAAGTGAAATGCCACTAACTCCACAAAAAGGGGTGTCAGGAGATAAGACTGGGTTATATCAGCTTAGATCAAGTGCTGCACTTGAGCTCCAACCAAAACCTGGGATTAATATCACACTGCCCTTAGCACTGTGGTGGAGCTTATTAAGAGAAACTAGGCAAACAAAATGAGCAGAAATTTGTATGCAGCTGCCTGTTCCCTTGCCAGCCCTGCTTGCTCCCCTGCTAACACTGCCTGCATCCCTGCCAGCATCCCCCCCACCCTGGGCAGCTGTTCTGCTCTCCTGACACTGCAGCTCTCTCGAGCTTCAGAGTGTTGGGCTCAGTCCTGTGACACAGGAGGGCAGCATCAGGCTCAGGAAATTCAAGAAGGAAAGGCTGTACATGCTTCCCACTAAGATGCTGTGCTGGCCTAGGATAAACCTTTCCCAGGAAATCAAAGCAGGGTTCATTCTGCCCTCCCACAGACAAGGCTCCCCACGGGATCAGGGAGTACTGCAGGGATCTCAAGTGAGATGTCATTGGAGAGAAATAAGATTTGGCATATTGGGGCTTGGGCAGGGGTAGTTTTCTTCTGGCCCACACACTTTCTTGCCCTTGACCCCAAGGTCAACACCATCCTCCCATGGCCCATAGATTTGAAGCTCAACACCATCAATCAAGCTTTCAAATCTCTGGCACCCAATGGGTCTGGTATTGTGCAAATACAAGAGGCCAACTCCATTCTGTGGCAGCTGGAAACAGGAGATGAGGATGGAACCTGATTCCCTCTGCCTTCACTTCCCTCCCTGCAGAAACATCTCCTACAGACACAAGGACAACCTAGAGTAGTGCTAAGGAAAGCATAAGGCACATGAGTTTGTTCTGCTACACAGTTGAGCCATGTCTTAGCCTCTCTCCTCCCCAAGGGGGATATGAGCACCAATCCCTAATGAGTCATTTCTCATTCCATTTGCTCTGTTTATTCTTGCTTCTCACCTTCTGATCCAACTCTCATATTACTAAAATCAGAGGGTTACTTTTATTACCTCATTTGGGCGCTGATCTTACAAGTTGGATGAACCAACTCACCCTTGTAATAAGAGAGATGAGACCATTTCTGGTTATATCCCCACTTTTAGGGGGGCTGCTATAAAACCCTGCAGAAGGGGAGTGGGGAAAGAAGAAACCACAAGCTGGTCTTGCCTTTGCCATTCTCTGAGCTCACTGTGGTCATACTGGGCTGAAGTTCAAAAGAGCAAAAGCAGCAAAGCCCCTCAACTTCATCTGTCTCCAGAGGGAGCAGGACTGTGGCAGGAAAATCCAGCTTTGCTCATGGGAAGGATGAACTTCCACATCTGCCTCTGCAGAACAGAACTGCAAAAATCAGGGTGGGGAAACAGTCTCCAAACCTGGCAGAGATGTGTGACCATCCCATCACTCCTGTCTTCCTCAGAACAGCTTCAGGTTGTTGTGGTGAAATGAGACATTACAAGGAGACAGTTTGGAGAGCTGAGAGACAACTTCACATCAGGTCATCCAGCAAAACAGGGATCTTTCTCCA